CCGGGTCTGGGTCGTCCATGGGGATCCCCGTCGAGACCCCGTTCGCGGTGGGCTCCGCCGCCGCGAACCTCTTGGGGTCTCCTCTGGGAGGATCGGCCACCATGCTGGAAAGCACCGGGGTTCCTTGGCGCCTAGAAGCTGAGTGCGCGCGGGGAGCCTTCTCGGGACGCGGAGGTGACTGCGGGGTGGCACTCTGAGCGGGTGGTGTCCTTAGAGCCGGGGGCTCACAGCCTCCTGGTCTCCAGGCTGGTGGCGGCTGGAGTGTGCCGGCTCGTGAGCGTGGGTGCTGGGGCCCCTCGGGTCCCTCCAGATCGGGAAGCGAGCTGTCAGGCGCCAGGAAGCTGGGAGCGCCTGGATTTCTTGGCTCTGGGCACTGGGCACACTGGAGATCCACAAGTTGGGACCTAGGATCCTTGGTCCAGGTGGCCGAAGTTTGAAGGCTCGGTCCTGGGCGCGCAGATCCGGGACGCGGGAACCCAGGATACCTGGGTTGTGGTCACCCAGAACTGGGGCGACGGGATCTGACGGCCTGGGACGGAGATCTAGTAGGAAGGGACCCAGGCTCTTGGGGAGGTCCCTGGGGGAGGAAGGCGGCAGTGAAAGTTCGGAGAAGTAGCGGCTGCTTGGAGAGAGGGAGCCCCCAGGGCGCGCCGCGTGGCTCTGAGCGGGTGTGGCGGAAGCTGCAAGGATTAAGATCGGGGGCGAGGCTTGAGAAGGCGGGACCGGATCGCTGGTGCCGATTGGCTGGGGCGTCTCGGAGCCCCTCTGCCAGCTTGGGGCGGGGCTGAGGCTGGAGGCGCGCCAAGTATCCATAAAAGGCGGACTAACAATGCCCCATCCACGGGCGAGGCCTGGAGGGGCAGGGCATTGCTAGGGGGCTCTTCCCTCCACCCCCCAAAAAAGAATTGGCCAACAGATTAAAAACCAAACCCACTGATTTAAGGACTCTTAAACTCTCGGGTTTCTGCGACTGTAAGTTTTGACGCGTGCGGGAAGCAGGCAGCCTCATCTTTCTCTTTCGGAGAGGCTGGTGAGTTCGAACGGCTGACCTTGTGGTTTGCAGCTTCACTTGTAACTCACTACACCACCCGGAAGTTCTGTGGGGGCTATTCCACTCTCATATTGGGGTGCTATGCTTCGGTGTCTTACCTAATAGGGTTCGGGTCCTGACCAATGGGAGTCCCTCCTAGCCTTGGTGGCCACTCCCCTAGTCTAGACCCAGGCCTGCCTGGGGAAGAGCTGGTAGGGGATGGGGAAGCACTGGGGCTGGCCTGACCCATCCCAAGTGTATGTGTGTCTTCATGTCCGCGCATTCAATTTTCAAAGTAGAAAGCAACTCGGGTCGTTCTGAGAGTGTTGTAGATCAAAAGCTTAGGCTAAAATGCGAACCAGGTACACATAGGATTGCTAAGCCGGGTCTGCTCAGCTCTTATCGCATGCCCAGTTCTCTGTGGTATGCATGCATTCCTCCTGAACTGCTCAATCACTGCCCTCCTGGTGGTTAATATTTGGGAATAAGGGTTCCTGGGGGGGCATGGGGAGGGAGGGGATTAAGGGGGGCTGGGATCCAGGAGCTCAAGGAAGAAAATGTTCTGAGACTGTCTGCTGTGTACAACACTGCTTGATGTGATTGAACTACAGAATATGAAGAGGTCCCAATAAAGTGACTTTTAAAAAAACCCTGTAACTTCTACCCCTTTTCCAGTTAGTGACAACATAAATCAATCAATCAAAACCCAGACTCACTGCCATCAAGTTGATTCCAACTCGGGATTCCCACCGCTGTGTCCTGACTTAGCCTCCTTCCCAGCCTGGACCTAAACTCACCCCCAGGGCTCAGCTTTCAGGCGGGTCTAGGAAGGCACACAGTGACCCGGGGAAGGGTGAACTCCGAACACGCGCCGTTCTGAGATGCAAAGGGCTGAGTGGGAACAGGAAGAACAGGGAGGAAGTGGGAAGAGGTCGTGACATTGTGGGGACCGCCATCCACGTCACCAAACAAAAATGTGCCTGACTGGGGAATGGAAACCTGATCTATTCTGCACCCAAAAAACCCCCCTCCAAACCAAACTCGCTGCCATCGAGTCAATACTAACTCCCAGTGACCTTGTCAGATTGCAATCCTGCCACTGTGAGTTTCCGAGACGGTAACTGTTTATGGGAGTAGAAAAGCCTCCTCTTTGTCCCGCAGAGCCGGCTGGTGCTTTTGAACTGCTGACCCTGTGGGTCGCAGCCCAATGTGTAACCACGACATCACCAGTACATTTGTATTCAAATCACCCAAGCAACACACACACCACTCCCTGCCCCACATGCAGCTTCCATCCTAGTAAGTGGGGACCCCCCAAACCAAACCCACTGCCATCTGATTCTGACGCAGGGCAACCCTATAAAGGGTTTCTGAGACTAGAAGTCTTTACAGGAACAGCCAGCTCTGTCTTTCTCCCTTGGAGTGACTGGGGTTTGAACCATCCACCTAGTGGTTAGCAGTTCAAGGTCAAGTCTTACCTGACAGTACCACCCACCACAGGGCTCCTGAGTGAGGGGCATGTGTGTGTGTATGTGTATATGTGTGTGAGAGAGAGGCAGGAACAGCCAGCCAGTAAACATGGCAATAAATGGAGACTACCAGTTGGGGTCAGAAAACTAAGGCCTTGTGAGGGCAGAAAAGGATGGGGTGTGGTCAGGGTGGACCACAGTGAGGAGGTGACATTGGCACTGAGAGAGACCTAGATGAGAAGAACAAGTTTAGCCTCAGGGCGACCTTTCTGGTGGGCCTCAGGAGCAGGTGCACAGCCCCGGAGGCCACAGGAAGTGGCCCAGTTACAACGGAAGGATCCCCAGGCAATTCTCTTAGCTGTGAAAGCAGATAAGAGTAATGAGTGAAGCAAAAACAAATAAACTCATTATTACCGTCCAGTCTGTTCACACCCACCCTATAGGGCAGGGCAGCACGGCCCCGTGGGTTTCTGACACTGTAACTCTTGAAGGGTGTAGACAGCCCCGTCTTCCTCCCTGGGAGGGTGTGGAGGAGTTTCCTGGGGACTTAAAACAAGGTGCAGAGAATGCTCTAGGCTGCTAAGGTCCATGGGTGGTTTAAAATCCAACCAGCGACATCGCAGAGAACTCTCAACCCAAACGCACGGCCCCATCTTTCTCCCCAGGAGCCGCGGGTGGTGCCACCCTGTGACTTCGACCCACGTTCCAGTAGGGTAGCTAGTGAGAAATCAAAACCCAAACTCACTGCCATCGAGTCGATTCTGACTCATAGTGACCGTATAGGACAGAGTGGAACTGCACCTCGGAGTTTAGGAAACGGTACATCTTTACTTGTATTTATTTCCCATGCTCAAAAGGTCAGCAGAGACTCAGTTAAAATAAACAATGGCCCTGGGAACATTTTAACATATGTTGGTCTCCCCAGCGCTTGCGATACAAAAACTTCCAGAGCCGTTGGCCTATAAGTTGGTGGTGATACATTTCCAAACACGCGACACGCGTGTGAAAATAAGTCACAGCACATTTTAAGTGTCGTGTAGGAATATGTAGGAGAAAAAGAAAAGCTTCGTTTCAAATGTCTTTGAACAATTTCAGTCCTCTGAACCAGTGTCCTCTAAGCAGAAATATCCCTTAAGTTTATATTAACTTGATCAAGTATTAATATATTTTTAAAACTTTCATTTAATTTTTATTATCAATTTTTTTAACAGATGCACACTTTTGGTTATTTACTTTTCTATAAGTTTAAATCCTTGTGGGGTACAGCATCACATCGATTCTGTGTCCAGTAGCCTTAGCAGGCAGGTTGCTCCAGGATTTGGCCCAAACCATGCCACTCTTTCCATGGGCACGAGTTACCTTTCCCCAGGTGACTCTGGTTTTGTTAGGTTTGCCGCCGGGAGTCACTGTGCTGATCTTTGCTTTGTACACGGAAGCACATCTCTTGCCTAAATAGAATTCCGTTTCATCTCGGGCATAAACACCTTCAATTTTAGGGAAGAGCCATGTGCTCCCTCTGGTTCTGGAGACCCCATCGATAGCCAGCAAAAATGACCTTGGACCATAACCTTCCAGGCATATTTGCTCTTAAGAAGTCCTGTTCCCAGCAGGCCGCACACAATTTTAGCAATTAGAGGATCGCCCACCTCCACAGGTTCCAACGTGGCAGGAAAAGCCAAGCACTAATATTTTATAAACTAATACACACACACACACACACACAGAGCAAAAAGAGGAAGGCCTTCCAGGAGATGGACTGACACAGTGGCTGCAACATGGGTTCAGCACAGAAATGATGGTGAGGGTGCTGCAGGCCCAGGCTGTGTTTCATTCTGCTGTGCGCACAGTGGTTAGACTATAGATCTTTATGAGAACAGGCATCCGCTTCTTTCTCCCAAGGAGAAGGTGGCTGGTGGGTTTGAACTGCCCGTCCAATTTTCACACATCTAGGAGGCGACTGACACCAGGGCTCCCCTCACAGGAGGGTCACAAGGAAGGGA